GAGAGAGAGAGAGAGAGAGAGAGAGAGAGAGAGAGAGAGAGAGAGAGAGAGAGAGAGAGAGAGAGAGAGAGAGAGAGAGAGAGAGAGAGAAGAAACGAAGAAGGAGAAATCGGTCTTAATCGTCGTCTGCTGGATAAATTTCTCGCGACGATCGTTAACTTCGCCTCGAGGATCTTGGCAAAGATCGATAGAAGAAGAATGCAGACGAGGGAAATGAATTTTAACGGGATACTGAAATATGAATTACACGGCGTGGGTTTAAAATTCGTGATGACAAATGAGATCCGGAAGATTCGAAGTAAAACAATCTTAAACTTTTAAATTCTTCGATCCATTTCTCCTTCTTTTTCATTCTCACTTTAATTCGAATATACATACACGATATATTAATTATGATATGAATCGTATGAATTTACGTTTATCCAACTTAATCTCGTTATTTTTTAATTCATTCTCTGCTGGATCTCATTTTGGATATTGGAAATTTACGATTAAATTATCGATTAAGAGATGATAATCGGAGACAAAATTTGCGGTTCACCGTTATTAATGAACTATTAAGTAGTTCGAAGTTAGGAAGAAGAAGTAACTAAGTTGGTTCGCTAAACAGTAGGGCGTAATGATAAGAAGTTTCTTCGTCCAAATCTCGAAACTTGTTATTATGGTATCGCGGTGAGCCGCGTAATTACGATTCTCTCCCGGTTATGATTAAACCGACGGTGCATCTAGCCTTTGGGCTAATTATCCCCTCCCGTGTTTAGTTTATTATAACGGAACACGATGATAACGCTTGGCTCGCGATTTTTTTTTAGTTTTATTCTCGAACCAAATTGCGAAAAGTATGCTTATTCGACGATTTCGCGTCTGACGAATGATACCATTTGCGCGGCCGCGAGTGTTACATTTGCGAGATTATTTTGGGAGAATTAATGTTGTTCGAGATTCTAGAGAACAAGCAAAGATATATAAAAATATAGGCTCATTCTTTGAATTAGAGACAATCACAGGGGATACATCATTTTAGGTGTACAAACTAAAAAGATATCGAAATTTTATTTATGTATTTTAATATTCATATGGATCGTGTATTGACACTAGAATTATTAATTACAATTGCAATATCTAAATATATTATTTCATTAAAATAATTTGATGAAAATTATAAAAATAATTAGATTCGTAAAATTATAAAAAGTTGTAGCGTCAACTATTACAGTTTATGCTTCGATTATAATAATCAATCACGATTTCTTCTTAGTTTTAGCCAAGAAAAATTTTGGGAGAATACATTATCGAAATTTGCTCGAGATATACGTATAATCGTAAAGTGATTATGTCTGAAATATTTCTTTCAAGAATCGAATGGCCCATTCGATAATTTATTTCTAAACAAATAATGGAATTATTCGAAGAGAATAATTTCAAAAAGATTAGTGGATGTTAATTCGACAAAGCGATCGAGCAATCGATCGTTAATCGAGCACGAAATTGGGTTACTCTCCCTAGCCGATCGTTCGTTCGTTCCGCGTCAAAGCTGTCTACGCGCGACCATCCTTCGAGCTTTCACGCCATCCCGTGCGATGCCACACCGTAATAACTTATTAATCCATGGAACAATAGCCTTTGTTGGATGACTCCGTGAAATTGTCCACGTGATCTCATCTGGGTCCGAGATTACGCGGCATCGATCTTTAAACAAGCCAGTATTTCCCTTGGATTTTCTGGCCACGATGATTCGACCACCGACTCGTCACAAAATTACTTCTATCGACGCGTCCAACTCGATTTTCGACGCTTAAGTCGTCGTTCCGCCAGATTACGGCCAGCACAGAGGATACGGGTGAGTGGTTCTCGCCCGGAAACTCGGTCAAGAAGCGACAAATCGATCCATTTCGGACGAGCCATCCTTTGATACATGCCTGTTTTCAAAATTTTTGTGAGTGTTTGTACGATTTTAACTTTTGAATATTTGATCAATTTATCCTTAATTTTATCCATGATATAATAAGATATGAATAATAGGATATAATAGAAGAAACTATTCTGGAGGGTTGCTAGTGAATATAGCTTAATGAAAATCGGATAATTATTCTAAACGCGGTGATTATTTGTGAAATATACTCTCAATTATTCAATAATTATTTCATAGAAACAATTCGACAGTCTTATCCCAATATACATATTCCCATGTATGTATATTTTATATTTAAATTCTTTAAATTTAAAAATGAAATGAGACACTTTAGTTGTAGAAGTTGTATTGTAAAGTAACAATTGAAAAGTGAAAAGTTCCAAAGTATTTCTCCAGAGCCGGTAACGAAGCATAGTCGCTCTTTTGAATGAAACAAACGGGCAATTCCGAAACGAGAGAGAGAGATAGAGAGAGAGAGAAGAAAAAAAAGACGATGCAATGGATATTTTCGAAGAAAAAAGTTTGGTGGCTCGGGCCACCGATATAATCAGGAGCAGCCAAGCTTTTTCTCGACGAACTCGGGACTAAAGAAACAAAACTGGAGGGGAAGAAGGCCGGATTACGGACAATGATAAGTCCAACTCGTAATTAGCGGACTTGCTCTTGAGTTCTGCGCCAGTCTTGTGGAAACGACTAGCTGTTCGAGTTCTTACTTCTTCTTCTTCTTCTTCTTCTTATTTCTCTTTCTCTTCTTTTTGCTTGATGGACATCTTAGAAACGCGAGTTGAATTCTCGAAATTTTGCCAAATAATGGTAAATTTGTGGGAAATTAATTCTTCATAAAATTATTTGGAATTATACTTTGAGAACGAATTGATAAAGGATAGATTTTTGCAACTATGAAGTTCGTGGAAAATTTTCTCATCTGCTAATGAGAAGAGTAAATGTTATTATTACTTGGAATTAAATTTCACGATGGTTTATACACGTAGAGAGTATTTACAGCTACGAATTAGATGGAAAATTTGATGGAGAATCGATGAAATGATTCTATTTTGCTACGTTACTTGGAATTCAATTCCAGGACGAAATGCTCGTGCAAATAAATTACGCACAATTCTCGTTGGCAAATTATTATGATGTTTCCCGATGTTTGGACGAGGGATTGGTCCAATTAAACGAGTTAAAGCCCCCAGAGAGGCGATGACGAATTGCACTAGACAATCTGACACATTACTTGGTATTGCTCGGCGCCAGGCCAACTTTGTCTTTGACAAATTAAACAGAATACACCTTTGACAAACTTGACCGTTATAGCCTTGTGAATAGGGTTCACAACGTGAACTTGTCAATTTCAATCTTGTCGAATTTGCAGAATCTCGATATCGATGAAATCTGGTCACTATTCGAGCACATGATCCCTTTGAGACGGTCTGAATGAGATAAACGTATTAGAAATTGTATTGGCAATTATTAAATTTCAATCTATTTCTTTCGCATTCTTAGTAGAATAAAATGTTCATCGATATCTTTTTTACGGTAGATTTTATGTAATAAAAATTACAATTAATTTTTATGAACTTTGAAAAAAATTCTTTAACGTTTTAAAATTAATATTGTAAAATTAGGTGTTATATTGTATAAAAGTGTTGAAAATAGTTCTTCTTTTTCTCTCTCTCTCTCTCTCATTTTTTTATATTGAAAATAGAGGTAGCACAAAAAAGTACGCAACACAATTTCTACGAAAACAGTCGTTGTTTGACATAGACAACCTATCTAAACGTTAATTGGAACTAAAATATTTTCATTCTCGTCGAAACGGTCTCTCGAGCTACGTTCCTCTCAATTCGTTTGCAATATCGATTCAATCCATTTGTCGATAGAGTTAGTACAGCGCTGTGTTTTTCTTCTAAATTCTGCTTTGTCTGATAACGCATCAAGAAGATGTGTCCAGAAGGAAGATTGTTTCTCACAAATAATTTTGTTAATTACGTCTTCGATTTGACAATTTCTTTGGAATTTTATTCACAGTTTTTCTTTCTCATAGATAAAATGGCGTATACAAACTTTCGATTAATTATTTGTAGGGAAAAAATATAATTCTAAAAATAATTAAAAATCTAGGTCATCATCGAAAGTATCCTTTTACTTGTTTATTTTCACTAGATTGTAGGAACTTATAGAAAATTTAAAAATCTACGAAATACACAAAAAAAAATATATTCACTATATACAGAATGATATTTAAAAAGAAAAATAGATCTTTATTTTGATTTTATTTTTATAATCGTGTTAATATATAAAATTCTAGAATGTACAAAAATCTATTTTTCATTTTAATAATTCAATATAAAACGCATTTCGGAAATAATTCGTATATAACATAAATCATCGATTATAAATTATATTCAATCACATTCCCAAGTTTTAAGAATATAAAGAA